GAGGATACTGATATTGTATATATCATGATACAGTCACTTAATATTTGAGAGTAATTCTGCTGTTTTGAATAAATTTGTGAAATGTGAGGTGTTGCTTGTATCACCATACAGTCTTGGATTGTGATGGATCAAATCAGCAGCATTGTATGGGCACATCTCCAGGAAATCACTGAAACATTTTCACAGATTCAAAAATAATAAGTATAGATTAAGTTGTTAATTACCCAGAAAAATTGTGTTGTTAGGTATATACCTTGACATTGTTTGTGGTATTTTGAGGCTGTCTTATAAGGAGAGATGTTTCACCTGACTGCTTGGTTATGGCTTATACACTTAGACCGGTGTGCATGACTAGGCCTGATAGTCTTTAGTATACACAACAGCTGGAATGTCATAGTACATGGGGTATAGCTGCTAGTTATCTTAGTCAGTTGGATGTGATGTGGTTTGTTTGTTTGTTTGTTTGTTGTTTTGGTGACTTTCACCTGTAGTAGGTAGGTAGGCTAGAAGTCTGTCTTGTACCATTGATCCATGCAGGAGAACTTGGTCACCTTCTAGTAGGTCTTTGAGGACATAGGTAAGATGCCTTCTCATAATGTGTTTGAGTATTTTGGATGGAAATAATTTGATGATCTTTCAAATGAATTTTTTACTGTTAGGGTGGGAGTAAGGTAATATTGTATTCACCATACATGTCATGTGTACATACTTCTAATCAGATGTAGTGGTGTGCTGATGGTGGTTGTAGAACAGCTAAGATATTGAGTGAAGTAAAAATATTTCAGTTCAGTTAATGTAGTTCTGCTTCTTAAGAATGTTTGCAACATGTATGAATAGTGTTTGTCAGTACAGTTTGTGAATGGTTGATATAACTGTAATTAATAAATGATAATCTTATCAACTGTGTGGGTTTTCAGTTCACATACTTGTTTTTTGTGTATTTCAATTCACATACTAGTTATTACTAGTTTTGTGTGTGGAGCCCCAACCATGTATATAGAATAGGCATCATTTTCAGAACATCACTGGCACCTAGCAGTTTGCTTCCAGCAGGAGCTATCTTGTCATGTTACCCATTGTTCCAAAAATAACTACAAAAAACACTGTTTTGTGGTATGTCGTTTTCCAGCACTGTGACATAAATTGGTTACCAAGGATACTGTGAAACCATCTGTTAGATGGCCTTTCCAGAGTTTCTGTAAATAACTGTGATTACTTTTAGGTAATTCTACAGCATGACATGCTGTTGTGGTGTGTTGTTTGCCTTTTGACATTAAGGAAAACACTGAGAGCCAAACTAAGACTACATGTAGCACAACATTGGTACAGATGTGTTTTCTGTCATTCCAAACATTCCCAAAATGTACTGAATATCACAAAACACTTCTTGACCAAAGCAACTTATATTTAAGTAAAAGATTGGTATACATGGATTGTTTTAAACTGCAAATCTGTGAAATGAATATTTTCTGAACTATTGGATTATTGCAATATATGGCCTTCTAAAAATATGTTGGCTACAGAAAATGACTAACTGCCTTGCTAGTATGAATGGTTTAGTAAACATTTTGGTACTTGTATTATTGATTCTCATAGTGTCATCTTCATGTTTTCAATATTTTCACAAGTTGTTGCTTTTTGTTTTATGGACAAACAGATGATTGAGAAGGATGTTAATTAACATGTGAGAGATGTTGTGGTGTTAAGATTCGGAATGATGTTGATTGGAACATTCTAAGAGGTTGAGAGAGAATGTTTGAAAGAAAGATGTTACAATATGAGAGGGAAGTTACAAAGAGAAAGATCTTTAAGGTTGTGAGAGAGGGGTTGGTATAAAGTATACACTCAGCTTACTCTTCACACATAACATGAGATCTGTAAATATGTATTATCCAAGAATAGGCTATAGTGAGGCTGAGGGATGCAATATTGTTGTGTGCTGTACAGATGCTTGGTAGATGGTGTTGGTTACACTTGTGAAGCTCAACTTAGCTCTCCTCAGCTATATATACTCCACCAACTGCCAAGTGAAGGGCTCTCAGATGCACAACATCACACTCACAATACTGGCATACTAACAACCAACCAGGAAGAGTGTGTTTTCACAACAATGAGGAAGTTGACTTTAGGATTGGCTTCTGGATCAAAATTTTATATCCTAGAAATTTGTCACTTAAATTTTGACATCTATATTTAATTCTTTTTAACAATTGAATTGAGCTTTGTTTAAATAATAGCATTTGAAACACTCTTGCTGAAAATGTGCGTATGATACTTAGAAGTGTCTGTAAATGTCTTTCATTTGCTACCACACTAAATATGCCAATACTCAAACAGCAGCACATGATATATGCTGAACTATGGCTGGAGGTCTCCTGTCAGTCCCGATCACACATTTCCCAGAAGTACCTGGTCAGGCCCTAATCAGTGTAAAGCTGTGGACAGATTGAGCTGTTTGTATGGCCGTTATGGAACTGCTAAACACCCATTGTGTGTCCACAAAGCCTATTGTCCAGTGTACAGGTAACATTGTTTGGGTTGCACAACAAAGGGCTGAAAATGACTGACTGATTATCACTCCAGCTGAGTGTAATCCTGCAGTTGGCAGTGTGAGGGCTAGAGGCCCAGACTTGTCTCAGTGTGTGTGTGTATATAACAAGAGGCATGGACCCTGTGGATATACTGTATAGACTAGGAGTAAACCCACAGTGTGCTGCGATGGTGCAGTGGAAGGAAGGTACATATCATCAAGTACAAGTGGCTTATGTCCAGGTCGAAAATAATTTCAAATTTGGACATACGTGTTCCAGTCACTAACAATAATATGTAATTTTGAAGCATGTTTAGACTCTGATCTAAAGTATACAATGGCTGGAAGCACATATGATGGGTTCATGGACAACTGGCTCATGCCATTGCTGAAAATAGTTCCAGAATTTGTGCAAAATATTTCCTCAGTGTTATGTAATGTCATGCTTGGACATTGATGTGATGTTTGCTTATTGTATTGAATAAGGTCTAAATAATTACTTGGTATTGGTTCACCTTCAATCTACATAAGTTACAGGCTTTAGTTCAGTAGAGTTCTATGATATACAGGGTGCGAGTATGTAAGGTTGAACTTGATGTTGTTTGCGAAACGGTCCAGGGGTATGGAGTATCCAGACAGCTGGCAAACAAATTCAATTTTATGTGTTGATAAAAGGAATATGCATAATGCCAAATGTCTTGTATGTACTGTTTCAAAATTAGCATTTCAACTATGTTAACAGATGTTTGGTTTGTTTGTACTCTTCCCTCTATTTTTGTTTTTGTACCCCGTAACAAATGTGTAATCTTTACACATGTATGCACTACTGGCACATTAGAAAGACAAATATGTGAAATATTACTTTCAGGTTTATCCAATATTATAGCATGAAGCTATATTCTAGAAGTTCACTTTTATGAAATGTGCTTAGGTCAGCAAACAAATGGAAACCACGATCTTCACCATGTGACAATGTTTTAATTGATCATAGTTTCCTTATTTCTGTATCTGAGGTCAAATAACATGGATAAAGTAATGAGTCCTGTCCAGAATTAAGCAGGAAGTTGACACAAAGTGTTGAAATATTTCCTTGATTAAATTATGCCCATTAGTGAATAATACTAGCATGTCTTAAACGTTTGACTTTTTCTGGTAAATGTGAAGTGTTCAGTATCCACTGTGAATTGTTTTCATTCTGGGATGTCCTGGAATCTAAAAGGAACACATTGTTGCTTGTGTGTTTGAGTCATCTGAATGTCTCTTGCCCTGCTGGTGACATCACTTGACCTGGCTAATTCCGTCCTCCATCTGGAGGTCATGTAGCATAAACCGCTCCCAGTAGATTCCAACATGGAGGAAACAGGGAGACATCATTACCGTAGTTAACACAGAACATGCTCTATTATTACTACTCTGTGGGGATTCCAGGTTGGAATGTGTCCCCAGCAGCAATGGATCGGGTGGTCAGACTCCGTGACATAGTTAATAGCATGTCATCATACTCCAATAGAATGGTTCATTGTTTGCAATATTAGTCACTGTATTGTCTGGTCCAAATTCGTTTATTGAAAGGCCCCATCATGTAGCAGGAGTATAGTTTAGTGTGACTTTAAACAATTTGACTACATGTATGAGGAAAAGCTGATGTATGTTGGCGATATGTTTTGTGAATCATTTTTACCTATATTTTTGTGTCACCATGTTATGGGTTTTTGGATGCCTAAGAAACATCCATAGTTTTCTCGCTAATCACATGAACAACTTTAAAACATCTCACTCACTTATAAAAAACAATTTTATCTTAAAAACAAGCCATCATCTGAGTATTTGCACGGTATGTGTGGTGCTACACCCCTTGTTATAGAGTGAGTAATCGATAAAGATGGCCGACTGAAAACATAATCAGAATTAAGCCCAAACAATTTAATGGAACGCTTAATGTGTTGACTACGGGATGTATGATATGACAGTGTCTTGTGGCCAGGAAGTAACAGAAGATGTTATCTCTGTGTATCTAGTGTCCCAAGTATGTCAGTATGTCCACCCTGTTTAGACTTCTAGGATGTACTGGACAACAGTGTCGTCTGCTCATACTGTACAAATACACCAGGATGGGTGTTTCTTATGGTCACTTGGTTACTTGATGATGAGATTAAAACATCTCTGTTAGTTTCAGTATGATTCAGTGGGGAAGTTGAGTCACTTTTGTTTCAGTTTTGGTACTGCATGTGCTTGATAATACATGTACTGTATTATCATCACATAATGTGTCTGCTCAAGAACTGACAAGAAGAGATTCGCAATTTCTGGTTTGGAAACATGATGTAGAAGCATGAGTTTATCCTTTCATTTTTATGAACATAGGTACATGGATGTCAGCAGCTGTCTTGACATTCATTAATCTTCGCTGTACACTTCAGTTCCTGCTTGTAAGAGGTCATGTTTCTGATTGTATCCTTTCTACTTTCAGCAAGTGAACCGTCCCTCCTCAGCCAGTCTACAAGCTCAAGACAGGCTGTGATTGGCCAGGAGTCTTCAGAAGGGACCATACTTTCGGACACCAGTTCAAGCAACAGAGGCAAGGACAAGGGATCCCTGAACAATGTTCTGACAGAGAGTGACAAGGAGAATGCCATACCGGACCTCAAGTCACCATCACTTACCAACTCCTGGGACCTCTCCCCACAAGACCCCAACCGGAAACCTTCGTATTTGAAAATAAGTTGTGCGGTTAGCGGCTATGGCCGATACAGTCAGTACTCTTCCTATAAAAACATAGAGAAGCGTTCCCCTTTTTCTAGTACATCGTCCCTCCGCTCAATCCCAAGTTCACCGGATATGCCGTCCGTACAGAGTCCCAGTGAGGACAGGACTCGTGATGAGTGTTTGCGATCAGCTCTTGGACAGACACTGCAGAGCCCTCTTGTGGCCAATGGACAGTCGACGAAAAATGGAAGTATACTAAATGGACATGGTCAAGTGTATCCCACAGGAGATAAAATCAAGGTGGGTTTATGTGGCATGTTTCAGCCTGGGTGCTTTCGTTTCAGGTTCGTCAGTGGATGCTTCAACATTTTGGATTACTTTCTATGATAGGTTTGTATTTTGATGTTGATGATGACTCTGATGATGATATTTATGTTATATAGTATAGACGTTGAACAGTTATTTTGCTTTAAAACAGAGCTTGGACTGGAATCCCTAGGCAACAGCATATTACAAAGTTTAAATCCCTCTTTTGTCACCAAATGTGTATCAGCGATGTTGGATTTATATTAAGTGCCTAAAACAACATAATCCATGACTTCAACCACAAGTTCGAAGCCCTGATCCATTAAGAAGTGTTAGATTTAGTTCACTCAGCTAATAACAGTCCACATATGTTAACACGTTACAGTCTACTGAACATGATGCCAAGAGACAATTTCAGCTGGTGGACTCAAAAGATGTTGGCACAGACTGATAAGATGATGATTTTAGAAACTTGCATTTTTTTTTGGCCATGTTTACCATGATTCCGATTGTGCTGTAGGCAAGAGAGAGTGCCTCATATTTCTCCTGTGATTCATACTGACCACTGAGATCAATACCTATTTCACTTCTCTCTACCACAGTGATGTAAGGGAGCCAGGCAAACGTGTTGCGGAATCTTAGTATTACACACTCTACACAAGGTCACTTGTTACAGAAATAATGGTAGCCCTGCCATTGCAATATATCTTGAGTTATCTGCCCTTGCTGGAAAATGACAGTCAAAACTGAGCACTGTGACTTCATTCCTGATAACAGTGACTCATATTGGATGTAATTAATATCAGACATCGGGGACATATTTGTGTAGCCTATTTCTGTAATAGAAGGAAGGGACTCTGGGATAGCTCTCTGTTCAGCTTGTGAAGTTTATGGTCTCTACTTGGGTACAATTTATGAACAAATTCCTTGTGTCCCTGATGTAATAAGGCTGCAACATGGACTAAAACTGTCCTGAACTCAGATACTCCATAAGAGGGTATCCTCGTCCTATCCAGCACTATGCATATAACAGAAATACAGACCTAAGTGATGTTAAACCAGCTAACTCACTCACTCTCGGCAGAAACTATTGCTGCCAGTTTTTTTAGTGCGGCCATTTATAAGTTTGCAAGAGCATCACCAGCTATTTTCTCTCAGAAACTGAATTGTCTAATAAACCATATTTGTCTTGAAAACATTATCACATGAATACATATTTATATGCGAGACTATCAAGGGAATGTTTAGTTATTGCCACGAACTAAGATGATTCCTTTGCCCCATTGTCTTGTAGCGATGAGACTATAAGTCAGTGATTTGCTTCAGCTGTGTCCAAGTCTCAATGGGCATCTGGTATTGATATTATACAAAGCTAGACATGTAGTGGACACCTCATACATTGGATTTCTCAGTAGAGGAAGTAACAGCAGTAGAAATATCGACTGAATCTGTTTGCTGAACATAATGGTAAATATATGGTATTTTCTAATATTGTCAATATAGTTACTGACTGGGAAACAATTTGCTGACTTGGTGAATTATCTCCCTGATATTTTGTTTGATATGTATGGTGATACTTTGTATACAAGAGGCTGATAATTCAGGGTTTATGTTAGGGGAGATAATCCATATGTAGTAGTATCATGATTGTTACTTCATAATCATATTTGACATTTGAGAAGAGATTATTAGATTATTGGTTGATAAAGAAGATTTAATATTGACATGTGCCATTTTCATTATATGCTGTTTCATTTGATAGAAGCGAAATAACTGAATAAAATTACTTGGTTTGCTGAAGTCATACTCAGCAAATAAAAAAATATGTTAATTTCATACAATTCCTCACTCAATTGTTAATACCCTATCATAAATGTTAAGATTAATAAATTCAAATTCTTATTATACTCTAGAGTTGTTACATATAAAGTTCTCCTAAAACAAATATTGTGATACCAATATCATGGATATCAATATTTGGCTTAATGGAAAGCAGTTTTCTTCAATTATATGTTTTTAAACTGAAGTGAAAAATATTAATGTATGAGATAGTGTTGAGCTATTTAGTCCTGCTGATAAAGGAAGATTGGCAACACATTTTAGTGGCAGGCCAGCTGATGATACAGGTGTGCAGCTGACAGACAGACTGGGTGACTCACCCATCAGCAGCACACCTCCTGGCCTTCGGGCTAAGCATCCCATGTGGTGAATACATACATGATGGTGTCCATGCAACATTCAGCCTCACTAGGTAAATGTAGGGAGTATCTACAACCTATAAAATCTACAGGTAAAAATCGGTAAGGATTCTTAAGTTGTTTTACCCCTAAAAATATTGTAATGTCATACACCACTAGTCCAAATGAGCTCTGGACCATGTATACACCTGGAAAACAAATTAAGCACCGCATCTTAATCTATTTTCATTTATCCTGAACTGCCATGAAACTGTTGGTAATACATATGACATTGATTGCATAGGAATACACCTCTAAGTTGTTGCCTATACTGTACCTGATGTGAAATTGGTAAACACGTACAGATTCACATCATATGATGCAAAAAAGCAGGTGGAGGCTACTGAAAGAGTCTAATTACCTTTGACATGGAACATGTGCCATTACATAATCAGATCAGGGTTAGAATTGGTCTTCAGCAACCCATATTTGTTGTAAGAAGATACTAATAGAATCATATGGTCAGGCGCTGACTTTGTTAATGCATGTCATCAGATCCCAATTGCATAGATCAATGTTTAAGATGTCAGTCACTGGATTCTGTGGTCCAGACTTGATTATTTATGGACTACTTTTGTACAGCTGGATTATTGATGAATGTGGCATTTAACACCAGACAAACATTACATGTATGAAAAATTTTGATTTTTGTATTTCAATATGAGTACAGAAACAAATGACTTCAATTTTGTCTGAAAATTAGTGCAGGATATGATCTTATAAATGGCTATGGAAATATATAGTAAACTGTGCTTAACCATGCCAAGGTGGTTATATGCACTCATCAGGCCCACCCCCTTATTTGGTATATTTGTATAGCAAATGAGATTCATAGCTTTATTCGCTTCTTGTTATGTATGACATTCTTTCCAAGGTTACACGTACAATGCCTTAAATTATATTTTTGAGACAAATTTGAAAGTTGCAGTTTTATTCTGTCTTAGATCAAATAACTTCTATTTTTGCAATGCATACACTGATGCTGCTGTGAATATAGTTGCTAGCTATGGTAGCTTCATGCAGCATCAACAGTACTTACATAACTCATGTTTTCCCACCTTTTCTCAAGTATCCATGGAAACAGGATGATGTTATTATTCAGAATAACTGTGACCATGTTAAAACAAACTGTATGTTATAGATATATTTGTTGCGTTGTGATGGTGATAGACAGGAAGGGTGACCAAATCCAACGCGAGTCTTCATTACTGGTAGATTATGATTATTCTAAATCCACATCTCTGGCCAGGAACAAGCACTCACCAGAGTGTGTGATTCCATGTGATGAGTATGTTATTCCATTTGATGAAAGATAATGAAAATTTGATTGTGTTTGAAATTGAACAATTAAAGTCAAAGGGTGATTGTCACAACACTAATGTTACAAATGAAAGATTTAGGGGTCCTTTGTTTTAGATATTATAGCAGACAGCTCAAAGACCCCAAAAGCTCACCTATATTTCTTACACTGATGTGATATGACAACACATAGGCACTATAGAGATCAATGCGCAATTTCAGCCCTCAATCTCACTGCCCATATAGGCAATTAACATAGTTTCCAAACCATACATATCTATTGTGGCTTATGAATACTTCACCTAAGCTTGACTTTCTACTTAGTTCATCTATGAGTAGTGCAAATATTTATCGTGCAGGAAATCAAACATTAACAGGGAATAATGTGTAGGAGTTCGAAGTGGTTTGCATACCTTCTGCTTATATGTAAAGAAAGGTACTTGCTTAGGTTAAGATTTCAAGGGGACATGTTGCTGGAGTTTGGTTCAGTGAGTCAGAAGGGTCTGTGTAGAATAATGACCTGTGTTTGCTCCTGTACAATGCTGTATGGTACAGTAAGTAATAAACATGTAGATCCCTATTGTAATGACGAGGGGCGGAGGTGAACCTGTGTGGCTTGGGGCTAGGCCTGGTTCTTTGTGAGACTACAATGTGTTGATTAAGGCTCTATCGATGCACTGGTATGCTGAATGACAGGATACACGATATGGTACATGCTGTTCAATACTTGTCGCTTCACGGTTGAATTATCAATATCTGCACAATAGATCTAAAAAGGGTACTGGTCAGCATTTTAGCTTCGTCATCAATTTTAGCTTCATTCATGGTGTGCTGACCATGCTAACATATTCATCCTATTATTGGTTGCAGTAGGTTAGTCATCTGAAGTGAGTGAGTATGGTTTTACACCACTTTTAGCAATATCACAAGGGGCACTAGAAATGGCCTTCCCACTTGGTACCCATGTAGGGAATCAAACCCAGACGTGTGAACAATTTAGCCATGTGGCTACTACTGGCTACTCCTCCGCCCCAAGTCATTTAACCAGATCAAACTGTTTGTCAGTGTACAGTGCAACTTATAATCCAATATTCTGAGTAAACTGAATTTATGTTTATGAACAAAGATTTAGAAGAAAATATTTTTAAGATCAGTAACAATTAATGTTTAGTGTTAGGCATTTGTGTGCTGGACAAATAAAGTGATAAACTTAGAGCATTATAAATCAAATTTAGGCACAAAAATATTTTTTTAGATTAATAAAGTGAAAAGCATTTGAAAGGGACTGATATTATTGTACAGTAGAATTTGTCAAAACCTGATTCTGTGTTATCCAGATCTATCAATACTAGACCAAATATGCGGTTCCTGAATTAACTATGTTAATTTATCAAAAGGTAAGATATTAGGAAACATTTTCTTGATGTCATGTTTTCATATTGCTACAACTCCTGCTGAAATCACCCTATTCCAGACCACTGTCTAAACTGTACCAAACCCTCAATCCCATACAAGTCTGGTTTAGACAGATTCCACTGTATTATTAGACTGCTAGAGCTACATGCAAAGCCTGTTTAATGGGAGGAATGTGTCTGGGCTTGATAGGAAGATAAGACATGTACCTGTGAGGGCAGCACACTAGTGGGAGCAACAACAGGTCTTGGAGAGTCCCCCTGCACTGTGACCCAGGGGTCAGTCAAGTCCAAGCACTTGTGTTGACTCCTTAACCCCTTGGGGCCTTTATTAACAGGCTAATGCAAACACAGGACATACAGCTGGTAGTGGAGTTCTTTTATACTACAAGCCTTATGACCACCTTTGATGGAATATGTTGGATAAAGAAATATTAGAATGGCATTAAAATAAGCAGCCACTGCACTGGATTTAGGATGAGTTTAGGATGAGAAACATTTGAAATTCCACACACTGATCTGAAGTTGGTTGTGTAATTATTGACTGATAGTTCGAACTCATATTTGAACATAAGTGAATAGAAGCCTGTGCTTTGTGCAGTTGTGCTTTGTGATGAAGACAAGTCTCTATTGTGAGGATAGTTGTCAGGAATGTGCTATGTTGACTGGAAATGCCTCGTTGACGCAACATCAGCACAGAGCATTGGGCACATTCCAGCAACTGGGATTCTAGCTGTTTGTTTTATTTTCATGTGTGGAAAGATTGATTAGTTTATGTCAGGATTTTTTGGGATGAATTTTATCCATTCAAAGAATTATTGTATTCAAGAGAAAATGCCAAGTTTTGTCAAAATGTAAATGTAATAACATAATAATCGGTATGTTATCATATGCATAAATTCTCTTCAAACTGTCAATGCATGTGAACACTCTTAATCTTCTAGTTCTTTAAAATAAATATCTGGGCCTTGTTTGTTCTTGCCCGTGTCCACTGGTAATATACAGACAATCTCAATTGTAGGATTAAACAGCTACTGCAGTGAGAGGTACAAGAGTTATGCCCCTTGTCAGATAAACCTTTTGTTGATTTTCCTTACAGGAACAAACAAAACTGACTTGACATGAAGTGTATTTATATAGATCTGGAAAAAGATGTTTTCCTTGATTCATTTACAAGGCAAAGCTGTTGGTGTATTTTTAATATTATTATGTCTCTAAACATAGGTGCGGCAGATTATTGATCTACATGCCTGGATCTATATATAATGTTGAAAGCTTTCTCGTGTGACTTCTTATTGCCTGCGTGTTACCTTCAGTTAATGACATAGCACCTGGCCACCTGGTCATTATTCTGAATGTGTTTTACTCACACATCATGACTCACAGCTCTCTTGAAGCGTCAGTATTCCCACATCAATAAACAATCAGATTATAGGACTGTTTGTAGAATGATAGTTAAGTTGTTGCATTATCATATTTGTCCTACATAATAACTATAATCAGTCCCTCCAAGGTTCTTAGCAAAAAAAATATCCTTGTTCCAAGAACACCAAGTCAGATTACTGAAATAATCAAAGAAATAGTTTTCAACAGTCTAATAGGTTTGAACATTTTATGCATGATGTATCAGAGAAACAGTGTAAGAAATGAAGGGGGGGGGGGGGGGGGGGGGGGGGGGCTTGGGTGATTTAATCTGCTGTAGTATTTGAATTAAGGACTCCCCAAATGTTTAAGGTTTTGCCTGATTAGGGTAATAATAAGGAGCCCTTGAATTGACTTCCATTTCTAATTTCGAACACTGCACAGCTTCTGACAATTTTATAGGTTTTGACCATTTACAAGATGATTCATACTGTCCCTGAGTATTCAAGGGTTCAGTCGGAGGGCCAGACAATGATTCAGTGGCTGGTTTGTTTACACATTAGTAGATCAATTATCTATGTGGTATATTGGTTTAACTGGCCATACACCAGGTACTTGTCAACCCTGGACCAAACACTGACACCTGCCTGTGAAGCTGTGGCTTGGATCAGCTGCCATAACATCCTCTCCCAGTCACCCCGACCCTAGGTCACAGCGACATCACAACAAAGAGCTCAAGTTTATTTTAATTCAAGAGTCTTTTTAAAAAAAATAATTGTCTATTGTGCATTTTCTTGGTTTTTCTCTTTCAGTGAAATATTTTGCACTGTTTTATTTTTGTTGTTGTGAGTTATGACAAATTAAGTGATGACTAATTATATAAAACGACTGATCCATTGTTGTCACAGAAGTGTCTTAAACCATATTTGAGTATCTACATTACCTATTGACATCTGTTTATGTGGTAGGGGTTTTCCTGTTTATATGACAGTATGGTGGTTTTGTGATGAAGGCTACCTGCTGTAGTATTGTCAGCTGTGTTGAGAATGACTTGCTTGACGAGGCATCGGTTGTCTGTGTTGCAGGATGGGGAGTACTACCTGCAGGCCACCCAGCTGGAGGAGGACAGACTTCAGTCCTTGTGTGACCAGGCCAACACAGAGCTCAAGGAGCACATACTGCCAGAGGAAGGTACGTACATCACCCAGGTCCCCAGTAACCTACATTTGTAGGGTGGTCAGGCTCTGTGACTTGGTACATCACCCAGGGGATTCCGGGGGACCGGCCCCCAGTAACCTACATTTGTAGGGTGGTAAGGCTCTGTGACTTGGTACATCACCAGGGGATTCCGGGGGACTGGCCCCCAGTAACCTACACTTGTAGGGTGGTCAGGCTCTGTGACTTGGTACATCACCCAGGGGATTCCGGGGGACTGGCCCCCAGTAACCTACACTTGTAGGGTGGTCAGGCTTGGTTGATAGCTTTTCCACATACCCTTGCATCTTTGATCGGTACTCATAATAACATTCACTGGATTGCCTGGTTCAGATTTGATTATTTACAGGTCGTTGGAATATTGCTGAGTGTGGATTTAAGAAATAATCAAACAATTATGAGACTATTGAAGGCGTGTTTGGTATGGCAGTAGTAAGGATATGGTAAGAAAATAATTGTGTGACAATATTGCAGTGCAGGTACAACTATGGCTGTCGTAAGGAGATATTTTAAATACTATTGTGATAATATTGTATCAGAGGTATGACTATGACAGTGGTATTTGTGATCACTTAAATAGAAGCTGTATGGCTCCATCCAATAGATTTCCTTGCATTATTCAACTTGAATCTGTTTTGAAGTGATAAATAATTCTGTGACTCTTCAAAGAAGGTGTATTTTGGATAAAAAATATTTTTGGAAAAGTACATGAATAATAGTATTTTTTCAAGTTATTATGGCTATCGCTACTACAAATGTATTCATAGTGTTGCCCAGTGTCGATGTAAACCATCAATATTTCAACTTGTCACTGAAAGATTGTCATTGGACGATGGATATTTTGATGCATGGATAGTTCAATCATTAGTTGTTCCTCTCATGCATTGTAAGTCATGAATGGTTGAATGGGTTTTCAATAAATTGGGAAAATGCAAAAAATGTTTGATTTGTTTGTTAAGGGCTAAGTCACACATTCAGGATTTTTACTGCGGTCCTTGATAGGACCATTCCCGATTAAAAATTGTCAAAAGGCTGATCAAGATCCTGTGATTCGTGGTGGGGATTCACAAAATTTGTAAGCATCCCGATTCTGCCGTGTTCAGACGAATTCGTCCCGATTCTCCTGTTCTCAATCCGAATCATATCCGATTTGTATCGGTAAAAAAACTACCGATTCTGTCCGGACAGCGTCCCGATTCTCCTGAATGCGATCCGACAGAGATTAGACAGTGACCGGAAAGTGAACTGACGAAGACGGTTCGCATTCGGCAAGATCTGGATGCAATCTGGCCTCAATCAACAAGAAACGGCAATGATCAATTTCTCCAAATCATGCCCGTTCATCACGACAGCGTCCCGATCCAAAGGACACCGTCCAGACAACACAGGACATTGTTACGATTTTGATCCGATGCAGCAGAATCTGTAATGACAGTCATGATTGTAATCCGACTAGACAAAATCGAGTTTCCCAAATGTTACGGGATGCACCACACTGACGGAAGTGCTTGGCCCACTTCTCAGGACTTTTCCCGATCCGTAGGATTCTGTTACGAACGTATACGACTGCGTTCAGACTGATAGGACATTCCAGATCATTGAGGATAGTAATCCGATTTTTTTACTTTTCATGTCTAGGGCTGTCTGATTTCAAACGGGTACCATAAACGGCGTGAACACAGCCTAAAGGACATCATGTTCAATTTGAGACACGTATTAACCAGTTGACTTCAATGTGCATTGTCCCATGCTAATCATTGACTGTATTTTTTGCAGTGTCGGGTAGATTGCGGGCAGCTGTTGGCAAGGGCAACTTGTTAGTCACACAGAAGTTTCAGCAGTTCAGGGACTTGTGTTCACAACACATGGTATGTATCCAGTAAACACCTGGGCCCGTTCCACAAAGCGATCGTAGCGCTACAACTGTCGCAAGTCAATGTTTAAGTATGGGTGTTACAATCTTCTTCATGCTACGATTGCTTTGTGGAACAGGGCTGTGATATGACTTATGAGAATTGTCAACTTGAGACTTGTCTTAAACAATTTTGATTAGACTTTTTCTGAAATATTGTTTGATTTTGTTTACATTGACCTCCAGCTTACAGATTATAAGCCTCAGTATTTCATACTTTTCATTGTGAAAAGGTCATTCATATTAAACTGGTAGAAACCAAATCGTTTCTTTTTATTTCAAGAAGAACATACAGGGCCTGATTTAGCCATATGAAACATGCACTTGTGCAGCATATTATTGACAAATGCAACCTACATTATTTATCTCTACATGCATCAAGTGCATATAGAAAGAAGTTTAAATTTGTGTCGCCTAACGCATACATGTCCAAATAAAATCAATCTTTGAACACACTCAATACCTCTAAAGTTAATTAACCATGCTGTATCATGGTTTGCTACAAAGTTGCCATCTACCTAATGCTTAAAGGATAGTCAACAAGGAAAAGTCACTAGTCCTTCATGAATTTTACTAGTCTCAGACAAGCAGACTTATGTTCATTTTCATCCCTGATCAAGACTACTATATAAAACTCCATTACCTTGTCCGTCATCTGAGAAAAAATAATAAATATATGTTTCAAATATGGTGTTCTTGGATCAATCAGTTCTGTTTAACCCGACAGTGCCCCAAGGCTGGTGAGAAAGAGACGAAGTGGGAGGATCTGCAAGGATTCTGGGATATGATCAAGATACAGGTGGATAGTGTAGACGACTTGTTTGCTGAGATTGCGCTAATGCGGCAAAACGGGTGGAAGGAGATTCCACGACAAGTGAGTTGTCTTATTGATAGCCAAACACATGGTTAAAGTCCTTGTATATAACACAATACTGGCATTCACCGCTCATATCTTTAGAATTAAATATTTATCCCTGTCAGAATCTCAGGTTAGAATTGGTTCCTAGAGTTGTCTACCCTGAGTAAAATAGATTGAGTCAGACTCTGTCATTTGACTCATTGTACCCTGATGGCATGGATTGTTGCTCATGTTTTGATTGACTGGTTTGCTTAGTCTGAACTTGATTAATAACAGGCCACTGTGGCATAGAGGGAATATTGCTAAGTGTATGTGAAAAAGCATTCAGTCACACACTTATGCATGCAGGTCTAGGGAGGGACGGTTAGGTAGCCTAGTGGTCAAAGCGTTCGCTTGTCATGCAGAAGACCCATGTGTGATGGGTAAAATGTTTGAAGCCCATTTTGGGAGTTCGCTGTGATATTGCTGGAATATTGCTCAAACTGGTGTAAAATACAACTCACTCACTCTCAGGACTTGGATAAACTTTGTGTAATATGTACCAAATTTTCTGTGTCCCATATTGATACTGACAAATGTTTCACTTGAAGTTTCTTGATCAATATTGAGGAATTCATTTTTTGTAATGTAGTTTACACATTTGAGTTCAGGTATGTCATGAGTTTCAATGAGGCTGATGATATATTCCAGGTTTTGAGAGACTACTTTCTTAATGGGAATATTTCTTCCTTGACTAACAGAGATGTTCTAATTTTCAGCCATCACGGAGAAGCTCCGCAAGTTCTAGTCCAAAGTCTGGCAGTCTGTCTCAGGGTAGCACACCCTGTCACACACCAGGTACGGAGGCTGCCCTATTCTTTCCTTGAACACTTTCACTGGGGATTAGTGCAGAATGGGTCCCTAATACATGAAGCATGTCATCAGAATTGGGAGTTGATCATTTCATGGATCAGTGTTCATCTAATAGGCCATGCACTTCTCTGCCTGTTTGACTCACAGTTGTACCCATTGAAAGGAAGTTGAAGCAACATAACTTATTATCTGGACGATGATGACTTCATGTGCCTTATCTCTATTACATCATAGCCATAATATAATTAACTTTAGAAATCTTAAGATTTTTCAACAGACGTCCTCTTCACTGTCAGTTATCTTAAGATCTTTTGCATGGGTAGCAGTATCAAAACTGATCTACTGCGCTAGCACAAGGCAGGAATACGTCCCTTCATTTCTGTGTGAGCTTGGGTTAAAAAGGACATGTTTATCCCAGTTATCCAAGTAACAATCTCTGATATATTCTTTCATTGATAATTATCGAAAGGTTTTTCACAGTTAAGAGTAGCTGAGATTTTGAGTTCATTTGTACAAGTTTCTAAGTGTTGCTTGAATGAATGGTCTATAAATGTGATATGTGACAATTAGTTGTTTGGTTTTATAGGATCAAAACGGAAAGGGTTGAAAACAAAAGATACACCCGAGTCTTCCCCAGAGAGAGTACAGAAGGCACGTCTTGCCTCAAAAGCTCGAGATGACGCAAGGAAAAAGATGCTGGCTGAGAAGAGGGCTGCGATGAAACAGCAGCAGGCAAACCAGGAAGTAGAAATCTACATGCCTGAAAACACGAAAAAATGACAAGAAGAGTAACCGTTTCCTGTTGAGATTATTGTGTACATCAACAACTACTTCATATGTATAGTTACCAAATATATGAGACTTCCAAACAAGATGGCATTTATATAGGAAATGTGTATCATAGGTATAGTGTATACTTATGGAGAAGTACATTCATACCAAGTGCAATCATATTTCATGTCTTGCCTAGTCACCATCTAGCAACCCTTACTTCCACGTTTCGTGCCTTTTTTTCGTTGACAATTGTAGATAGTTGACTTTGTGGAGTAAGGGTGGCTGGGGTTGAAACGATTAGGTGAAAATCGCTCATGATCTTTTGGGCCAAAAGCCTCAGGTGGATGATGAAATCAACAACATCTTCATATTTTCAGAGTCGTTCCATATCCACAAAATATTTTCAAATATTGATGCAATCACAAGTGTGTACTTGATCAGGTATGAACTGTGTGAGGATACAAAAATCATTGTTCTTTCGTCTTTGTACTATGTGAAAATGAACTTTTGTATTTGAAAGGCTTTTGGCTCCAAGTCAAATCATTAACGTTTACTTGCAATGGTGCGTTTCTGTGTGCATATATTTGGTTTAATTTGTCTTAAGTCAATTTTGAAGGTGCACATTATGAAACTTTGTTAGCCTACATATTATGCAATCTGCTGAACATGCTTACCAGAACTATGCCTTGTTACTATCATTATTATGATGTGTATTTTTTGCATTTGTTATCGCAGTATTCAAAATGATAATGACAGTGGAAAATATTGTTACAGATTTCTAGTTGGCAAGGGATGTGGCCTCACTTGAATTTGAAGCATTTCTTTTGTTCATGTAAATACGCAACTAAAATTATACTGGAGTACACAATGTTAATAAGGTTAAAGCTGTAATAAATTATAAGATTTTTATCCCCGCCTGGCTCACTACATCATTTTTTTGTCATTATATAACAAGACTACTGCTAGATGTGTCCCCTAATGGCTTCACTACTTGAAATACACCATAAACATTGTCCTACAAAACATTCATGCTTCATGAAAATCACACCCCTGTGTGTATCTCACTCACACACACACACACACACACACACACACACACACACACACACACACACACACACACACACACACACACACACACACACACACACACACACACACACACACACACACACACACACACACACACACACACACACACACAAATAATTGGTTTACAGTTTTACATCCCATCCGCCTCACATTTGAAAATAAATTAGATGAATATTTAATGATTATTTGTGTGGCCTGAAGAAAAACACATATGTGATTGCACTGAAATACTTTTTACTTGATGGAATGTTATTAACTAGATATGTACCAATATACCACTGTCACAAAATAATGTGTACATAAAGAATTTTATCTGAACTCTTGTCAGCTACCGTACAGCGATCGGGCCATATATCAACACTATTTATTTGGGATATTTTAAAGTTATGCTAGCGCATTATTTCATTTGGAAGAAATGAGCGTTTTTGGTTATTGTTTTGTATTGTATTTGTAGGCATATTTTCATGTACTTTCTCTATTTATTGTGCAAGTGTTGATACAATGAAATAATTTATGCCAGTATAGGCAATGATTGTTTAAAGGTGCTCTTACATCTCAAGGTTGTCTCTATAATTCCCATCACAGTATTGTTTTGTTGTACCATCTTTAATGCCAAGAAATTCACAAAACCTGCTAGGAATACACCTGCTACTTCAAAAACAAGGGCAAGCAACCTGGCGTGGTATTATATTTTTATGACCTTTCCTTCGGATATGGATGTATTACCTCCCCTCGATCAGTTTCCTTACAAAAAGTTACTTCCCCTTGGTAACTGTCAATTTCAAAATTCATGATTTCCTTCACATCTGAAAACAGTTTTTGATATTTCACGATTGATAAGAATTATGACATTCCCTTGGCAGAGAGTTGAAATGAAAATTTAATTTAAGACCATGAAAGCTTTGTTAAATTGAGCACACAAGGACAGCTACATTGTGTTTGAGGAAATATGTTGTGTTAGTATCAAGGCAGCAATAATGTGATGGAAATTGTGTAGATAAGCTAGGAGAGAATCAATATCATGTACGTATCCTGAATTTTCATGTAAAATGTACATATATTTTCATTATGAGCGTATAACCCTTCCAGTTAGCACATACTGGGACCTACACCAGTCAATATATTTATGATACTTTCATGTCTCAGTTTCATACAAAAGTGGAGTGACAATTGGCTTGTCAAACACATACATGTAGACTGTACTAGCAAAGTAACCAGTACATTTCATGTTATTAATTGCATATAACATGCATGTTAATGACAAGTCTACCAGCAAGTGATATTAATGTATTATCTGTTCTAAAGGTTTGGGGTGATTCAGACTGCTATACCACCATTGACAATTGACAAGTCAAACTGAAAAATTGATTTTTAATAACAAGGAAAATATCACTGCTTATTACAAGCCAAAGATATTTAAGAAATTATGACATTGCTTGTGCACATCTTTGACACAAAATGCCAAATTGTTCGTTTGCTTCCAAACAGATAGACTATCAAAGTTTCTGCACAAATTATACCGAACTTACATGAGAAGCAATTAATAGAAACATATTTGATTATTTTTCTATTCCCAAAGTTTTTCTGTTTTATTATGAAAATTGGTTTTGCAATAAAGTGATACAATATCACAGTCTAACTGATATATAAAAATAATTATCCCACCTATATATGTGAAAGTGATAATCACAGGAGGTGCCAGTCATGTTGGCAAGGACAAAATATAAACAATAAGGAATGTATTACCAACAGGTAAAGCTTGTGTAACTATCCATGCTGACAGAAACAGACCTGGAATATTGTTAACTTGTATCGACTATATGACCAAATTTTGTATGGTGATGTTAAAGTGGTTTACAAGTACTAGACTTACAGAATGTAGATTCTTGTATTGTTGATCAGTGTTTGTGACATGTGGCTTTTTAATCAATGGATGATTTCTTTGCCCATAATTTGTTACCAACATGGTAAGATTTGTTGACGAACGTTTCCATACTGAAGTGGGACACGACGTTTTGGAGCCTGGGAAGTTGCCTGGTTTGTAAAAACAATGATCATAACTACAAATGGTCAAAAATATATGCAGAACATGCCTGAAATATCCAAACTGGATACCAACCTAAAATAGTTAGTTTTGATTTAGTTGTTTTGGTCATCAACCTGAATATTTGAAATCATTGTTTGATGAAGTTTTGCCTTATAATTGTACAGTAAATCTTTCATCAAGGGTTTTGAAATTCTTGAGAGAAAGATGCATTTTTCATTTGTTTATTGGATTGACATGTTCACATTGCAGGCTTTCATGTCATGATTACGTTGCAAGGAGTACACTGTAAAACTTGGGAGACAATTCATAATTAATTAAAGGCCTTGGAAACAAAGAAATGACATACAGTATTTTGCTAATGAATCTCCAAGCTTTTAATATTGTGCAGTTTGATATGCATGTCAGAATAAAATGAAATGAGAAAAGAGCAGAAATGGTCTTTGTGTTATGTCAGTTGGGCAGTGAATGAAATTAGAATGCTGAAAAACAGCACAGTCAGCAATATTCCACATCTCTCATGCTGTCAGGGGTCACTTTAATGACTCTCTATCAGCATATTTTGAGCACAAGAACTGATCACTTGACATGCTTGATGTTCTGAGAAATAATGTCTTTGGAGTGAACAATCATTGGTTCTTGCTATCAGAGAAGAAAATACATGTACTTGCTGGCAGAAAAAAAATTCTGTCAAAAGCAAGAATCAAAGGCCCTCAGAACATGACAGGGTCTGTCACTTAGTCTTCAGGATCTGTTGGTTGTGAATCCCAGATTCATCCCAAATAGGATTAATTCTTGCGAATGCCCTACCTTGATAACATCCCAGCCATAAATACTGTATTTTGGCTGTCATCACACCATAAAATCTTCAGTCCTCTTCACTGTCTGTCAAACCGCGTCTGTGGTCTGGTGGTAGAGCATCTGCCCGGAGAGAGAAAGGTCGAGGGTTTGATCCCTGGCTGTGTCATACCAATAGATGTTAAATGATGTCACTTGTTGTTACCCTGCCTGGTGCTCAGCATAAAGGGGCTAGGTTGGCTCGGAGTCAGTATACTGTGTCTGACCGGGGCATTCCTGTTAAACTGCTGCATGGTATCTTAGTTGGCTAGCACTATAAAATCAACATAAGTACAAGCAGTCTCTTTCAACTAACTTGGTTGGACTGCCAGCTTCCCCAAGCCTAGTTTTCCTTTAACCCTCATCTCTCACTGAGAGGTTGTAACTGTCATTAATGCTTTGATACTTAATAGCTATTCTCTGGACATCTGAAAGTTGAACACTGAGGTTTATGGGAGTGCTGTTTGTTATTTTCCTTACATGTGTGATACATAGTATTTTGTGGACCTCGTCATTCTGACATGGTGGTATGATAACAACCATTGTAGAAACAAGATCCCATGCCAAGTCTCCTATGACAGCTTGGAGCACTTCCGGTGGTGCCAGGATTGTAGTGATAGAAGCTCCCGTAAAATATGCCTAGCCTCTTTATAATATATTCAACCACACAATGGAGGCTGCACTAATACAGGTGACCCAAACAATGTAGGCATCTGTAATACACATGACCAAAACAATGTAGGCATCTGTAATTCAGGTGTCCCAAACAATGTAGGCATCAGTAATTCAGGTGTCCCAAACAATGTAGGTGTCAGTAATTCAGGTGTCCCAAACAATGTAGGCATCTGTAATTCAGGTGTCCCAAACAATGTAGGCATCAGTAATTCAGGTGTCCCAAACAATGTAGGTGTCAGTAATTCAGGTGTCCCAAACAATGTAGGTGTCAGTAATTCAGGTGTCCCAAACAATGTAGGCATCAGTAATTCAGGTGTCCCAAACAATGTAGGCATCAGTAATTCAGGTGTCCCAAACAATGTAGGTGTCAGTAATTCAGGTGTCCCAAACAATGTAGGTGTCAGTAATTCAGGTGTCCCAAACAATGTAGGCATCTGTAATTCAGGTGTCCCAAACAATGTAGGCATCAGTAATTCAGGTGTCCCAAACAATGTAGGTGTCAGTAATTCAGGTGTCCCAAACAATGTAGGTGTCAGTAATTCAGGTGTCCCAAACAATGTAGGCATCAGTAATTCAGGTGTCCCAAACAATGTAGGCATCAGTAATTCAGGTGTCCCAAACAATGTAGGTGTCAGTAATTCAGGTGTCCCAAACAATGTAGGTGTCAGTAATTCAGGTGTCCCAAACAATGTAGGTGTCAGTAATTCAGGTGTCCCAAACAATGTAGGTGTCAGTAATTCAGGTGTCCCAAACAATGTAGGTGTCAGTAATTCAGGTGTCCCACAGAATTTACGCATCAGTAATACAGGTAACTCACACAATGTAGGCATCAGTTATACACGTGACCAAAACAATGTAGGCATCAGTAATACAGGTGTGGTCAGAAGTCGATAAACATGAAGAGGAAAATAATATGCTAATGAACAGACTCGAACAACTAGAATCCCAATCACGTTGAGAAAACTTACTCTTCTTTGGAATAGAGGTCGAAGTCTCTCCACATTACACACAAAGTGTGAGGGGTGTGAGGCAGGTGCTTGGTGGGTACGTGAAAGAACATCGAGACAAAGGTGACGACTGCTATCTTACACACGACAAGCTGGTGGTGAATAAGGTGACTTACAAATACGACTGGGAAAAGAAAACCATCGTCCCGATAGAAAAGCGACAATACACCCGCCATCAAGCCACCACCCTCGCCGACTCACCCGACGAAGCTTCCCACACCCGGGACCCCAGAGCTAGCAGACGACGTGGTGACAGCCACCCCGAGAGACAATCACGGTGTAATCCAGATAGGAAAGTGGTCGAGGCCACTGTCATAGTAAAGATACGTGCAGGTCCACTACTAAATCCAAACATGAAGATAGATATATTCCGGAAATAAAATTATCCTTCATAATATGGAATGTAAATTGGCTTTATTCAAAACTCAAAAAGTATTTTTTTGTAAAACCTTCCATGCCATTACCTTCATAGAAACTTGGGCCAAACCTACCACAGATTTTGAGCATATTTTCGCAGACCATCACTGTCACCAGTGTGTTCGAGAACGCACATGTACTCTGGGCAGATATTGCGATGGAATCGAATATATATATAAGGAAGTCTATCAACCAGCTGGTCACCCGACGACACAGTGAATGGACAGATTGTGTTTTCTTCCTTACAAACGTAGCTATGGGTCATTCCATTATCAATCAAGGTAACAGCATTGCACATTGTTGTGCACTCAACCAGAAAAGTTGTTATTTTAAGGTGTCTAACAACTGGCTGTCTAACTAATGGGAGGACACCGTACTGCCCAGGCCTCCCATTATACTGGGATTTGTATATGTAACTGATGCTACAACAGTAGCAGCTAATATGCGAGACTGCACTGGTGTAGGACTCTTAGAGACAAAACTGTACACACTGTGTAATGAATATCCAGGTACTGCAATAACTATTTTTGTTGATATGAATACTCGTATAGGATTAGAATAAGGTTTCATAGACTCCGTCGATTATCTCCCAATTGATGACTTTGCTATTCCAAGAAAGTCCAAAGACACAATTATTAATACCCTCGACCTGTGTGTAAACATGAACATGCATGTATTAAACGGTAGAGCGGGTTCAGACGTAGAGGGGGATTGTACGTTTATTGGCCATCAAGGTAATTGTAGATTATTGTATTGTGCCCTCTTCTATGTATGAATGTTTTAAAAACTTTAAAATAGTAACTGGAACAGAATCTGACCATCTTCCCTTGACAGTCGACTTAGCTTATCACATGATGTATCACGTGAACAAGCATACACACACACACACACACACACACACACACACACACACAGGCGCTCGTGCTGCATGCGCCCTCACAGCATAGACAGATTTCGGTGGGGCGAAGCACATGGGGGTGAGTTTGCAAACTATATGAACAGTTGCATTGACCATTTTTCTAGATTATTTGTTGGTTAGATAAGTTTAGGATTACGAATGATAGTGAACATTGCAGTGAGTATTTACGCGTCACGAAACGTTTTAAAGTGTGAGTGAGTGAGTTAAAATTTTAAGTCACATCGGCAATATTTCAGCCATATCGTGACTATCAATAGTTAAACAAAATACATATATTGATACTTATATAAACACCTGCCAACGAAGGACAGTAAAATAACTAGATTTATCACAGAAAAGGATATAAAACTAGTATGAAATCGTAAAAAATAATAATAGCACTATACATAACGATACAAGATAAAAACGGGCTATAGATCGCCAGCAACTGAAGGTAGACCACCATACTGGGGTCCATGGGGACTTACAGTACCTTTGCTACCTGCATGGACCCCAGCCGGATTTACATCATCCCTTCAGGTGTTTATGAGTATTGACAAATTTAGCCAAATTAAAAGAACACATATTCTATGATTAAAGCTATAGTAGGAATAACATATTTTGAATATTTTGGACTTACGATACCCTCTCAGGGGGACAATAATGTTACACTACTTTAACCCCCATCGAGGATACTGCCACAAACATTCACAGATATCAATATATTCTACTAATGTTAAAAAAATCATATATTTTACACAAGTTAACCAAATTTATGATACAACTTTATTTCTTTTAAAAAGCCAATAATTAAATGCGAACTAATATTATTAAAAAGATCTTTCATAGATGTAACCTTGAAATATTTATCCCTTGTGATGGAAAAATCAACACAGTCAAGCAGGACATGCTTGACCGTGATTCTTTCATCACAAGGGATGCAGAACGGAGGATCCTCACCTTCAATAAATATTCATTGGTATAGCGAGAATGGCTAATACGACATCGTCGTAAAATGAAGTAAAATGAACAACCCAAGTAGGTGTTACCGATGTTTGGTTTAATGTCATGTAATTTATTGATTCCTACTTGGGTGTCCCACTTCTTTTGCATCAGATCACGGATATAGGTTCTAATCACTGGCTTGAAATCAGTGTATGGAATATGAAGTGGTGTCACAGATTTGTTGAGTGCTGCTTTAGCTGCAGCATCGGCCATTGTGTTATCTACGTACGTACATATATATCATACTCCAAATGTGCTGGGGAGAAATATTCCCTCATTTTGGGTTTAAATGTGTTTCATAATCCCCACTGGCTGCTGTTGAAGTGACTTTCACCTCACCCAAGGTGGGATCTTATATGTATCCTGTGCTAGAAAGGATGTGATGATTCCTTTGGGGGATTATTAGTTAATATCATTACTGTATATAATTATTGGGGTTGTGCGTTTATTTTTGCACATATGCTTTTTGGTATCAACAATGCGTTTGTATAATCTTCAACAATATCGTTTTCTCCTTCAAAATATAATCATCACATCCCGAATTTCACATGGATTATTGTTAATTCTTTTAAATATATTTTCTATGCTCTTTCTGTCTGTCCTGGATGGGCTACAACATCGCCAGCCATATCTGTTGATTTGGTTTAGGTGTCTCCCAGAATGTGCAGCCAGGAATTGAACCCTGTAATTTTATGCTTCAAAACGCTATCATTACTGTCTTTTTGTGTTGTGTCATCTTTGACTGGGGAACTTCGCGCCGTTAGCACGCTTGCCCATCCCTTTCCGTGAGACGAAACTGTTACGTAACCCTGGTGATTTCACAGGTCTCACATCATTACTATTTGATAGTGTTTCATAAACACGTGCTCATGGTATAGTCGGAATCGTACAATGGACTCTGCTTTAAGCAGAGAATTCTTTTGGATATGGAAAGGGTTCTGTCGCTTTATTTAGTACAAGCAGCCCTCAAACACATGCGTGCACGTCGCTATGTAAGTGAAATTATATCTGGAACATTAAACCCTACCTCACTTCATCTAATTCTAAGCCACCTGAATGTGTAAACACCATGAGCGTTGCTGTCAACAGTATAGGTCGTACTGTCTGTAGGCCGATTGGTCTTCACTCATAACGTGTTTCATCATCTATATACTGACTGCAATACATGTCCAGGGAACAGGTTTGGCGCTTCCTCTTAGGAGACACTATTCAAGATGGCCGAGATCAATGACTACGTGAGGGACTTCTACAACTCCACTGCTGTCAAATGTGACTTCATCTGCGCAGTCAACGACTGGGACCTGACGCCATCCATCAAGAACATCGTGTCTCAGATGCACCCAGAGACGATGAAGAGGTAGGTGAATTGTTGGTCACACGAGCAGTAGCTCTGAAGAACGACGTCATGATTATATAATGTGTCTTTAAAGCATAGAGGCTGTCTATTGGACGGGATGAGAAGAATGATTGTTATCAAAATATATAGAGGAGGTTTTCTTCCTGGATGGAGTATTTCAGATGCCTAACATGTATTGTGTCCCCTGACGTGTTATGACTGGAATATTGTTAGAACGGCGTAAATATAAATTGTCAATGCAAGAGAATAGATTTTCTGCCGAAACAGATTCCATTTGGCGTGTAGGGCGAAATAGCTGTCGAGATTATATGAATGGACCACTGAAAATCAGTGTAAAAGCTCAATCACCTATTGCAGACAAAATTTCTGTCTTTTCTGGAAACATAAGTACATTCACTTGTCGTTCGGGTTTGGACTAGCCTACATCCACACGTCAGTGATCTGTTTCCAGGACATTACTAAAGGAGGAAAGGTGACACGGAGTTGATGCTTCTGTCTCATCTCCAATATGAATGCAGAAACTAGTGTACACGAACAGGGGATCATTGTACATTCAGTACATTTATGACGAGGACTACTTTACATATGAACGATCTAATATTATTTCTAGGTATTATGGTTCAGGGCTTGTAATTCCCGAAGGCATTGAAGGAAAGCGTGTCCTTGACATTGGGTGTGGTTCTGGCAGCCTCGTTTTCATCCTCAGCAAATTAGTTGGACCAACCGGAAGTGTTGTGGGCATGGATTTAACCCCAAATCTTGTAAGTACAATGTTGTAAACACTATCATATATAGACGTGTAGAAATAAGCTTGTGGGTTCGAGCAAAGGAAATGCCGTCGATCGTGTTTAATCCTCAAATTGAGCAAACCCGCCATAGCATGACTTTTCTACTGGTCATAGGGGCGTCAAACCCGGAAAATCCCACTTCATTTATACAATTCTCCGAAAAAGAGTGTTGAATGTAATAATGACGTTTTTCGCCTGATCGTTTAAATCGTTAAACTTGTGTTTGAAGACGGGTGATGTTTTTTATTTATGTAAGAGCTACTGAGGTGGGCCAACGCAACATACTGGAACTTCCTTTGACGCAACTAAATGAATGAATGAAACTATTTTTTTAGATTTCCGAAGGAAAGAACAGGGAGGACTATCACCGCGATAGATGGGGATACAACAAGAAAAACACGGAATTCTTCGTAGGCAACGCCGAGAACCTTTCCGAGTTGAAAGATCAGAGTTTTGACATCATTGTGTGAGTGGAATTTACATTTCATAGACAATTACATCCTCACTGTCAGTATCAACAAGTCGTTTGGGCTGCAAACGTTTGTTGTTTAACAACTAAACTTCCCTGTTTTGCAAAAAGGCATCAAACACTTTGAACTGTTCCAAAATTTATTTTATCAAAATAAAGACGAACACGCGTATGTGAAGAGCACTGACTCGAGTGGTTTGGGTGTCCTTTTCGTCAGTAATAAATAACCCAGTCTGGACCCGACAAACCGGTGATTGATATAATGAGCAACGATCAAGTCACTGTGCCTGACCAACCGATTTAAGGAGTGAATGAATGGTATTTTACGCCACATACAGTAAAGACATTATCAGTATGAGGCTGGGTGAGATGCAGGCCTGGTCGGATGTACGAAGACGCATGGCCATTCAACCAGAGCCCCGGGGGACTCCGGCACACACAAGGCTCCTAGTGAGTCTCACACCTCAAGAGTTGATCAATGCAAGTCAGGTGGTTGCACGACTTCACGCCTTCCTCCTCCGCCGACACCGTTGCCCATACTATCAACCGATTATTTTTATGTAAAGGTTGCAGTGATAAAGCTAGAATAGTGCAGCTCGTTCACTTCTGAGTGTTGAAACTACAGGACTGTTGACACTATATACATGTATACTAGTATTATTTTCATCCTCAGCAGTTAAGGAAACACATGCTATTTGTATAGTGTCAATGCGAGACGTGAGACGGTTATCCTCATCTCATTTCGAATATGTTGTCCTGTAGGACTTCAATTCGACAGCCCAGTTGAATATGGGTGAGTGAGTATGGTTTTACGCCGCTTTTAGCAATATTCCAGCAATATAACGGCGGGGACACCACAAATGGGCTTCACACACTGTACCCACGTGGGGCATACCTATGTCTATATCTATATGTTTAAGTTTTTGGGCTAACCTATAGTCTGTCTCCGAGACCCTAGAGCATAAATTATAAAAAGGAGTCCAATTCGTATCAAGAATGATATGGCAAGTCTACATTCTAAATTAAATTTATTTTGTAGATAAAATTTATATTTTTAAATAAGATAAATATATTTCTGGGACTAAATGTCTAAGGCTACCCCACGGCCCCAAGTTGACTATGAAGGGCAACATCTCCATGTCTGCTCTTGACAAGTTCGTGTCTTTCCCTTGGTGATTTGACCTTTTATGCAGGTATGCATAACCACAGCTCATTTCCCAGCTTTCTCCATTTTCGCAGTTTCTCTCGCCCCTGTTAGATTCTGCGGTTGACCCCGAGACCTCGAAAACAAATCATCAGCTCATACGCCACACGGAGTGGTTATCTCTATAGTTTGCCGAGTTTTTTTCAGGTGAACAATTTACTTGCCTTTGCATGTGTTTGTGACGGATGCCACCGATTGGGCAGGATACGCTGACCTTTTCGCGAACACCTGGTATCATCACTATTTGATAGTGATTCATAAACACCTGCTAATGATATAGTCGGAATAGTACAATCGACTCTGCTTTATGCAGAGGTTTCTATTGGATACGGAAAGGAATTTGTCGCTTTATTTATTGATGTATTTATTTATAAACGTATCACAGATTTGGTCCATTATTATGCTAATCACGTTGACAGAATAACCCCACTAGAAGTTAAAACCTCTCACCAGGATTTACTTTTGGAAAGTCAAACCTGCTTCGACCTTCATACCACATACCCGATCCCTGCTACCTCGGGTTTCACAACCACGACCAAAAGTTCAGAGTCGTGTTTATCCTACACAATAGCAGTGTGGGATACGTACTTTATGAAATGACCATAGCCCCTAAGCCTTTGTTTGCCTTGTCTGGTGTTGGGCCTCCACATTAGAACTTGATCTCAGCCAGTTCATTCAGTCAGGTCATGAACTGTTATCGGCGCCGGACGTTCCATTACACACAAGAACATAGACTGACGCTTAATCTCGGAAAATATATAACTTGATAGAAACAAGCAACTCCATTTAAACTGAAACGGAGACTTGCGAAGTGAAAATAATAAGGGTCAGGGACTGTGAGACAGGCTACCCCAGACATCGACAAGGCATTGCGAATCTAGTTTACTCCAGTACAGTTCGCAGAAAATGTCGCTATCTGGAGGATCTTGTTTTGCAATAAACATAATAGGGCTGCTATGCGGGGACCAAGTCCTTGTCACATTGGACCTGTGAAGATTCCGGGGTAGAATAGGTCTTCAGCAACCCATGCTTGTCGTAAAAGGCGACTAACGTGATCGGGTGGTCAGGCTCGCTGACTTGGTTTGAAGCATGTCATCGATCCCAATTGCGTGGATCGATGCTCATGACATTAATCACTGGATTGTCTGGTCCAGACTCGATTATTTACAGACCGACGTCATATAGCTGGAATATTGCTGAGTGCGGCGTAAAACAAACAACCAACCACCCTTGTCACATTGGCTGTGTGGCAGTTTGAATGTAAAGAATTGACTACAGTATTCTTTTGACTATAAACGCCAAGAATATATTCGTCAATTCTTAAAGATAAATACGACAACAATAAAAACTTCACAGAAGGCTCATTTAATCATTAAAACATTAAAACATGTTGATAATGATACGAAATCGGTGACATCGTCCAGCGCAACAATGCAACACAAGCCCCGCCCTTTCTATTATTAACCAATCAAGAAACTGTATTCCGTTAGTGGGCGTGGCTAATTATTTTTCGGTTTATGGCTCAAACAATTGCTTGGTGAGTAATCACTAGGGAAATGACTGAATCAATTGCAATGAATGTATTCTCATATAGCTCGAGTAAAGAACAGATAAAAATAAGATGTAATCTATATTATCCTTAACTGTGAACTTAAGAACCCCTAAATCCAGTGGCAGTAGAGTAAATAGAATGATCTTGAATGTGAAGTTTCTTTATATCATGACGGGGCGGTGGGGGTAGCCTAGTGGTTAAAGTGTCCGCTCGTCACGCCGAAGGCCCGGGTTCGATTCCCCAAATGTGTACAATGTGTAAAGCCCATTTCTGGTGTCAGCCGTGATATTGCTGGAATATGGCTAAAAACGGCGTAAAACCATACTCACTCGCTCACACACTCATATCATGTCACAGTTGTGCATCACGCATCTTATACAAAATGTGCCGGTGTATCAGAATGACAATAAACAGCTTAAGGAAAATAGTGTCCCATACACAGCTGCTGTGTGTTCTTCATTTCAATTTCATTCACTACATATGCGATAATTGCTCGAACAATGCTCTATTTATGTTTTTTTAAATTATCAGCGGAGGGAACCAACTCCCTCGATGATTTATATATGATATTCATCACAAACGTTTATTACAGATCCAATGGTGTGTTTTGTTTGGTACCCAACAAAGACAACGCGTTCGCCGAAGCCTTCAGATTATTGAAGGTAAGAAGCTGTTAAACGCGCCTTCCACCTAAACAAACTTCAAGAATTCCATCATTCTTCCTCTCATTTAAAACCAACTCACGACCCTTCTACTTCCTATCCACCTAAATAATCCTACTCCCTATCCACTAAAATTATCTTACGAGTGCCCTACTTTCTATCCTTTAAAACCAGCCCACGACAATCCTACTTCCGATCCTTTAAAATCAACTCACGGCCCTTCCACTGCCTATCTTTTCAAAATCCACTCACGACCGTGCTCCTTCATATCCACGTAAATTACCCTACTTCCTATCCACTTAAATTACCCCACTTCCTACCTAAAGGGCTTTATACTCAACTCAAGACTCTCCTGTCGCTATATGGCTGAAATAATGCCGATGCGACGTTAAACTTTAACTCACTCACTAAAGACTCGCCTACTTACTACACCCCTACCTTTGTCCACTGTATGCGGAGCGCGCAAGGCCACTAAAATCAACTACCTTTCCTTAACTTTCTATCCAGCGGGCTTCGTTTTTTGTTGGTTTGTTTGTTGTTTAACGCCGCACTCAGCAGTATTCCAGATGTATGACGGCGGTCTGTAATTAATCGAGCCTAGGCCTGACAACATAGTGTTTTCTGACAATTGTCGTGTAGCCGAGAAAGGAATAAGGTTCGACAGCGTTCGGGAAGACTTTTGATACCTAATTATTGATGTTATTTAAAAATTTGGAAAAAATGTTCTGTATTCAGCCTGATGGCGAATTCTACCTGAACGATGTGTACGGTGAGAAACCAGCCCCTTCTGACATGACGGACGACCTTAAAGCTTGGGGTGAGTCTTCTTAATACTATAGACCGCCCCCGTGGTCTAGTGGTAGAGCGTCCGCCCGGAGAGCAAAAGGTCCGGGGTCCGGCGTCATACCAAAAGACGTTAAAATATGGTACTTGTTGTTACCCTGTCTGGCGCTCGGCATTAAGGGGCTAAAACAAGGACTGGTCGGCTCGGAGTCATTATACTGTGTCTGAGTGGGGTATTCATGTTAAACTGCAGCATGGTATCTCAGTGAGCTAGCACTATAAAGCGGCATCAGTCCGGACTAGTAAAAGCAGCCACACAAACACACACACGTACATACACGTCGCTGTATAAGTGCAATAATCTTGGACGCTACGTTAAACCCCATTTCACCTCACCTCACCTCACCTCACCTCACCTCACCTCACCTCACCTCACCTTAATACTATGCTGCTTTTGTACATAAATCAACTGGACGCATGTTAGCTCGTGTACAATCGAAGTTCGCAAATGGTCCAGCCACCTTATCTCGATGTGTGTCTTCAAGCACCCTGCGGCAATTCCAAGTCAGAGCACTTCCCCAATACCCGATGTTTGTGCAAAGGTCCCACTACATTGTGGCTCGGCTGGTCAGTTTCTTTGACTTAATGGCGTGGAAGTTGCTCATGATTTCAGTGTCTGGTTTGCCTAAAACATAACTATTTACGTGCTACCGTGAAATAACAAGCAATTTATGTGGATGGCAGTCTTTTTCACACTGTTGGGACATTTCGGTGAAGAATCGAAGGCTATACCAAATGTTTTTCTACGAAGATTTCAAAGAGCGCCATACGACTCATGCCTCAAGATTGTTGCCTCAGCCAAACTTTCAAAACGTATGCCGATGCAATTCCCTATTTTGACTTGTGCCATACAATCCCGTGTACAGTTGACTTGTCTTTGCATGTGTTTGTGACGGGTACTAACGGTGGAAAAGGTTACGCTCACCATTTTCTCGAAACCTGGTATCATCACTATTTGCTCTTGTAGTTGCGCGGGATAAATGTAGCGCTGCCCGAGAGTCAAGTCCCAGACTTACACAAAGCATTGTACATTTACTATTAGCCAAATCACTGTGAGACTAGACCCGTGAATATCCGGGTAGAGAACAGGTATTCAGCAACCCATGCGTGTCGTACGAGACTAGGTTGAATTTAATTTATTTATAAAACATGGCCCAATTCTATCTAACAAGTTGCGCGGCTTGGTGCCACTGTTCAAAATATATATTTTTATTTACACACATCAACGTGTTCAAAGGCTGGATACAGTGACGAACATCACATGTGACATGGGAGAGCACTATGGTCAGGGGGGATGGAGAGTCAGGATAGTTGACCTTGAGCACAGATCGTATTCAATACTCTGCAAAGCCTGTGCAACAAAGTATATATTAATCTCTACAATTATCCCCGACAATTAAGAGTGAATGAGTGAGTTAAAGTTTTACATTGCATCGGTAATATTGCATCCATATCGCGAGGCATCCTGCAAGTACTATCCGGTTATGTGGCACGGTTTTTGAGAATGTTATTAAGGCTTTATCTGTTTATATCTCCGACAGATCTGGGCCTGACTGGATCCCAGCTTCCAGATGAATTCCTTGCCTCGTCCAAGAAAGCAGGATTCACCACTCCCTACCTCACATGTGTCGGCCCTGTCAATCTCAGCGAGGCCTACAAGGCCAGGCTACGTAAGTAACGACACATGAGCAAAACTATGACCATTGACAGATTATGGACAAAGTAACTGAAGTGCTAAGTGTTAGTATAGAAAACAGCACACTTATGTCGGGTGTCCCTGTGAATCTCCCTTCTTTTAAAAAGAAATCATACTGAACATCGTCACGTCGACGACAATACTGGTTGTGTCACGTCCAGGTTGACATGCTTAACTTTTCTGGAATACCTGGTATCATCACTATATGATTGTGATTCATAAACACATATACTATAATCGGAATCGTACAATGGACTTTTGGTAGAGATTTCTTATTGTTATCATGGTTATGGAAATGGTTTTGTCGTTTATATTCACGACCATAGATGGAAACCGCCTCCCTGGTCTAGTGGTAGAGCGTCCGCCCGGAGAGCGAAAGATCCGGGCCGCGTCATACCAAAAGACGTTAAAAGATGGTACAGTCCGTTTGACTCCAAATGAGAACGATGAATTGCAAAATAACTCGAAATCCAGAAAAGTGTATGAAACATCAATACGGTACTTGACCATGAATACCCTGTACCCAACAAAATCTGAATTTTGTTTATTTTAAGACCCATGACGGATGAAGTTCTTTAAGAAACTATCATGTAATTTTGTATAGAAATGTGTACATGACACGTAGGGGGGACAAACCGTGGAAGGCACAGCGCAAACACGGTCTGCACGTGCTACACAGTGACCTTGTTCATTCAATGACAAGATGCGCTACTCAGCAGATGTTAAACAGTTGATGTTGAATGTGTATGATTTCTTTAGAAGTGAAGCAGAAAAAGCAAAGCCTTTTTATGCAATTAATAAATTCTTGAAACGAGCTTCAAAAGCTCTTGGTATGTCCCCTCAGAAACTTAAAAATGTTGTTAGTCGACGAGATACAAATAGTCGGGCCAAGGAGGAAGGGAACATGTCAAAACCACGCAAGGTTGATAAATTAGACAGTTTTCAGAGGGATCAAGTCAGACGTGCAATTGTTAAACTGCACTCAGAAAATAAGTACCTGTCCCTAAGAATGTTGAAGAAACACCTTGAAACTGACCATGATTTACGTGTTACAAAGTAGAAACTATGGCAGCTGTTGCATACATTTGGTTACAAATACAAAAAGATAACTGGAGAAAATAGGGCTGTGTTGTGTGAACGGTCTGACATTGTTCGTCTCCGAAATCATTACTTTCGTACCATCAAGCAGAAACGTGAAGAAGGATATGAGCCCGTCTTCTTAGATGAGATATGGGTAAATGCGTCACACACAGCCAGCAGTCAGTGGGTACCAAGTGATAGTGTCACGTCCTAGATCACTTTGCATTAGGCTTATTTGTTGATAGTGTCACGTCCCAGATCTCTTTGCATTACGCTTATTTGTTGATAGTGTCACGTCCTAGATCACTTTGCATTACGCTTATTTGTTGATAGTGTCACGTCCCAGATCTCTTTGCATTACGCTTATTTGTTGATAGTGTCACGTCCTAGATCACTTTGCATTACGCTTATTTGTTGATAGTGTCACGTCCCAGATCTCTTTGCATTACGCTTATTTGTTGATAGTGTCACGTCCCAGATCTCTTTGCATTACACTTATTTGTTGATAGTGTCACGTCCTAGATAACTTTGCATTACGCTTATTTGTTAATAGTGTCACGTCCTAGATCACTTTGCATTACGCTTATTTGTTGATAGTGTCACGTCCTAGATCACTTTGCATTACACTTATTTGTTGATAGTGTCACGTCCTAGATAACTTTGCATTACGCTTATTTGTTGATAGTGTCACGTCCTAGATCACTTTGCATTACGCTTATTTGTTGATAGTGTCACGTCTAGGGATCGTTTGTCATATGTCCATGAGTCGCTTGAGTCACGTCTCCTTGTAACATGTGTGATATCCAAAGGTAGTATTCATAATTGCATCGGCAGAACAACTAGCGCTGATGAGGGGACATTATTTACTGTCTGTCAGAATAAACACACTCTCTCTTGCTCCGTCGTATAAATGCATTGCCACACCCTGTAACTGTGTCAGTCAGTGAGGTTTTGTTTTGTTGTTAACGCTCAGGCGGAAGAAGGTACATTTGCGCGGGCAACCGGATATTCCGTTTGGGAAGCGGAACTAACAGAGGGCCGGCTTCGGTGACGTACAAAGGAAACATCCAAGGTCATGAGTCAGAGTTCAAATGGGACATCAATCTGACCTTTAAGGTGAGATATTTGATAGTAGTTTTTGTTTTAGTGTAGTAGTGTTTTTTTCGTTTAACGCCCCACTCGGCAACATTCCAGCTTTTATATGACGGCGGTCTGTAAATAACCAGGAATGAAGTAATCATCGGTCTGCTCACGACATGCATCAACCAAGTCACCGAGTGTGGCCCCCGATCCCGTTAGTCGACTCTTACCACAAACGTGGGTTGCTGAGACCGATTCCATCACAAATATTAAGGGGAGTGTGGTAGTTGAGGTAAATGGTTGACTGAACCGAATTTACCCCTAATTCAAAAAAAATATTAGATGCTGAATTGAGACTGAATTGGTAATTAGGGTAACCATCAACTGATGATTATAATAAATAATAGAAATAATCAAATTGCCATACGGAAAATGTTGTGTTTGAACGACTTTCATCCGTTTCTAGGACTGTCAAACCTCGTCCCCTTTAAATGTAATTTATTTTCTGATGAGTCTTTATTTGTGATCTGCGTTTTCTTCCACTACTAGTATCCTGGCAATAGCATCAACAACGGGCTATTGAAAGCACTCATGTGTCCTGTTTAAACTGTTTCAGACTGGGGAATCCGTATCGGTAGACGAGGAACTTGCCACAATTTTGGCCCAAACTCGCTACAGTGCATTCTTTGACCTGGCAGACGCTATCGGTTCTGTCAACACTCTGCGGGTAAGTGTGTGTTCGCCCTTCGCTGGCGAAGATCACCACGATTTCGGGTCAGTGTTGGCTGGGGTGTTGTGGATGCGGGGGTGGCTGATCGAGCCAATCCCAATCCGCGGGGCGAGAAGCCCGATGCAGCGAGGGACACGGTATTTGGGGGGGGGGGGGGGGGGGGGGGGGGGGGCTTGTCGGAGGTGTTACAGACTCTGCTTTCCTGATCATGTGGTCATTGTAGGCGGAGTCACCGAGAAGTTGGTGAGCAGGCCTCGCAGGCTGATGCAGTTCTGCCTACATCTTCACAGTTGTCGGGACTAATGACGTCAATTGAAGGAGTCCTTGAGTCGTCACCTCTGACCGCCATGACGTCACTTGCCTGCCTTCTTCAAACTTAGACCAGACTCATCAGACACACGGGTCGTGTGTCCCTCGTCCCATTTGGGTTGAAATAATCCTTCACAGTGTAACAATATAACACCACGTCACATGTTGTCGAGCATCACCTCGTGACCACGTGCTTAATGATGTAATCAAGGTAGACACTTGAGTGAGTGAGTGAGTATGGTTTTACGCCGCTTTTAGCAATATTCCAGCAATATTGTACCCATGTCGGGAATCGAACCCGGGTCTTCGGCATGATGAGCGAACGCTTTAACCATTAGGCTACCCGACTGCCCCTAGACACTTGAAAGCCCACTGAAGACATCAAGGTGTTTTCCACTTGCCGATGAAGTTATGTTACGAATTAAGCTTCACGAAGTAAGATATTCAATAAGTAACGAAGACGTACATCAAAACTTTTTCACTAAAGCTAATTTTTATCAGACTTTATCTGATGGTAATCAGAACAATCGTACGCCCCGATTATGAATCGGCTGCTGTTTGTAAACTTCCTGTCTGTAATGTCATGTGACTGATCATGCTGTGCATCTATTTTTAACTTGCTTGTTACGATGAGGCTCGAAATCATGTGACGGTAAAAAGAAGACGCCTGACCAACTCGTCTCGCACAGCGAGTCATTTTCACTACAACATTAACAAGACATGGTCATTTGACCATCCAAGTGTTAACGGCAATAAATGTTCACAAAAGTTAGACTTAATTTTAGTGTATTGGGATTGTTATTAGACCTGTAATGAGAAATACTTCTTAGGGGCTCGAAACCCCATAACACGAGGATAACAGAGATGATGTCCACTGTACGCGCCGCAACTAGCATTCGTACATACATGTCAGTATCCACGTCTTATTTCAGGGTCAAAACCCCTTCACATACCTGGACCAGATACAATCTCAGGGGAAATGTCCTCCCCATATCTACACAGTGGAGTAGGATGACGCTGGCCAGCAGATGCTGCAGGAATGGAAAACGTCTTTGCACTCGTGCACGTCTAGCAGAAACTTATTACCAGTTATTCGTAACGGAATACTGCTTTATGACCGCGTTACTGACTCGAGATTTCAGCTATCCAGGTAGATAAACTCGTTGCCGTTGGGACACTGGCTATTTTATTAAGAAATGCTTACGAATTCTCATTCAAGCGCAAACTTAACCCTGTAATCACCGTTCTTTCATAATTAAAACCAGCATATTTTCTTATCCTACTACAATGTCCTTATAATTGCCTGATATCAACGAATTACTTTGGTAGGCATACTATGATAGCAGCCGACACTTTACCGCGATTACCTTCACTCAAATGACTTTGAAATAGTGATAGCATACTTATGTACTGGTAAACATTGATCTTGGTTTAGTATCTTGTTCCCTGAATATTCTTACACGAAAGTTCTGAATAGCCATGAATGAAACACAGACAACTTATGTCAATCAGATTCAAGATATGAGCCACGTACTCGTCTTGCGAAAGCTTAGGAAATATTTGTCTTCCCTTTATCCAGAACTAAATACGTGAAGTTGAGATAACATGGATGTCCCCGCCTTCAATCTTTAAGATATGGCAAAAGGTATGTGAAGACGAAGACGAGAGGAAACACCTGTTAAACCGCCGCATCCCCATCCATACCTCTAAATACCAGTCCGTAAAAAAGTCACTCCAGCATACGTTGCTTGGGATCATTTCTCAGCCGGAATATTCAAGTGAGTGAGTTGGGTAGTAACGCCGCTTTGAACAGTATTCCAGTTATGACATGGCGTGACAGCTTGTGCGGGAGGAAAGCCTGAAGTGATGCAGGTTTCAGACGTTTAGCACTTTGGTGAAACACACGAGCACGGGTATGGTGCTGCCTTAGAAACACAAACAAGGCGAACCAGGATTCGAACACACGATCATAGGTTTCAGGTGTCTGGCGTTCCCAAGGGACGCCACTCTGCACTGATGGAAAATATGGGTACTGTTGTGATCAGATACATCTTATTTATACGACCAATGGCTTCTGCATGATCTTTTGCGGTGGTGTTAAGAGAATGCATGATCCTGGGAAATGTTATTGTCATTGAAACGTTTGTGTGATTTGACATCTGTCTGCAGAACTACTTCCAGTGATTATATTTATGAGCTTTGGTGGGACTTTGTTTCTACTGTACCCGAATTATTCAATGACGGTTTTGGATCTCTTTGTCTCAGTTCCATAACCGTGATGCTGGAAAATAGAAGCATTTGATTAATGAGATATGTTATATCATGGAGGATACATGTGAAGGAGAGGGTTCTACTGATTGCCGTACCACGGGAAGAGACCAGTGGTCGTGAGCGCGCGGGTGTGTATAAAATGGCCGTTGCACAATGTCCACCAGGAGAGGTTAAATTAGAGCTTTGACTTCGTTAGCTAAAAGGGATAAAGTAGTGCTGTTTTCACGGGTCTGTTGATGATACTCCAATCGCTACTGTCAATGTATCTTCTACTCAATCATTGATACATGATTTTGTAGATTTTGAAATACCGTGCTAAAATCACTAATTCTACCAAAATGTAACCATCTATTCCCACCTCTACCAGATCCACCACATACGAAGCTTAAACGTTTTCTTCATCATTTGGGGAGGTAAACCGACAAAGTAAAGAGAAGTCAAATTATATGTGACACATCAGATGGAGGTATAAAATGTCCCCAAATACTAGAATTAATGCACTCGCCAAAAATATCAATGGTACGTAGAACATCACATCGATATCAAAGTAGTGTCCATTCTTCTTAAAAAATACCACGTTCTGGACCCATTCGAAATTACCTGCAAGACATTAAGATTACAAATGATTACCAAGATAAATAATGTATACTAAAAGGCCATTATTAAGGCCTGGTGGAAATTTATACATAACATCCACGTCGAGCGTATAAATGACAAGGGTATCCTAGCACAATATATGTTATATAGGGGGGGGGGGGGGGGGGGGGGGGGGCAGTAAACGCTACATAGTTTACAGGACGCCTATCATAATACGTAACGCTTGGAGATGCAAGCTGTCGAAACCAGTCAAACGAGCTGGCAGATGCTAATCAGCTAGCGCTATAGAAGTTCTAGACCCGGCTGACCAGATTCAGACACAGCTGACCAGCCAATAAACAATTAACTAAGTAAGTCAGCACATCAAAACTTGCATAATTTGACCAACATGTGAGAAGCCATTGTGATCAATTCCAAACTGGACAGACGGGTAGTGACATGCTTTCAAACGTGGACTGGAGGTCTCGGGTATAAGTGCAGGGGCATCTTGGCATAGTCATTCCTGCATTTCGCCTGAAAACATCTCTGTCTGTTTTTGAAGGTAAGTTACTTTTACTTATTACTTTGCCATTTCTGTTAAACGTGCTGTAAATAATTCTAACTTTGTTACTCTGCTGGTACAATGAACTTATGTTACAGTTAATCAAAAAGTATTGTTCAAAATCTACGATTTGGCTGCTATATGTTAATTTCATACAGTTCATCTAGAAATCAAATACTATACTGAATAATAGAGCGTCCCGGATAAGATACTAGCGTTAGTATTCTAGTCGTTTAAATATCAATCTAACATATTACGCCATTTTAGTTATGGAAGTCGTGGATGTTTATTAAACAATATGTTCAACGTGTATAACGTTTCTGTATCAAGTGACTTGGTGGTCAACGTGTTCTATTATCTGCATTTATAATTTTGGTCATGTTATTCGTCTCACTGTTTGTATTTTCACGGGAAACATTTCTTGTTTCAATATAATGAGTAGCATAGCATCGGCAGCTAAATGAATGTATTTAAAGATAACCAGTCTGTGACCGTATATGTCTAGAACACAATACACGAAAAGTAACACTGTTTCCGTAGCTAAATACGCACAGATTCGGCAATGCCTTTTAACTATTTATCACATAAGTGCATCCGCACTATCGTGAAGCGCCGGTTGATTTTGTGTTTCATATCGTAGAATACTCTATACAGATACAGGCAATTCAGTGGCAGTCTAGTAGATAAGAGTTACAATACAATATCCAGCATTTCTTATATAAACTGTTTCTCATGTTATAAGTTATTTACTTATAATTGGTAAACGTCAGAAGATTTTGATTAGTGTTAAAATGTTTAATCATCATCATCTTGAAGTAAGTGTCGACAGTTACCTCGTTAGAGTAAAAGCTACGGTTCAACGCACGCTTGGCCACCAGCCATTGTTCACGTGGTGCACGTACCGTGACGCCCGGCTTAAGCCCCAGGTATCTGTGCCGCAGTTACCCTGGTTACAACTATATAATCATTGTTATATTTTCAACAAGACACCAGAAAATATTTTACTATACTATAATGATGTAATTCATTATCATTCTTAATTATTGATTTCAATATCTTAATGCTGTACTATTTAATTGCTTATTATGATGTCTAAACTATGAAATAGAATGCTGAGATGATGTTGAATGTATGTTGTTGCCCTTTTGACGTCACATATAATAAAGATTCCTGCATTTCGCCTGAAAACCTCTGTCTGTTTTTGAAGGCGTGGAGATCCCGGAGTTAATTCCCCGTAACAATTCTAGGTATAAACGGTCCCCTAAAAAGGACGGTTTCAGTAATGTTTATATACTGATCCTCTTTGAAAACTCATCAACATGAATCCATGAGTGAGTTAATATTTAACGTCACATCGGCAATATTTCATGAATCCATGAAAATATCATGATAGTTGGCAAAGAACAACGAAAACACCCCCTGGTTAGAACTTAAAACGTCACGTTGTCCTCTGTTCCCGTCAACACCAAGAGCTGCATACTTTCCAACAGGACGCCGGAGCGTTTTCTATTCTCTTGGGAAATTATTTAATCAACGATTGAGTTATTAATTTAGATGTCATCATTGTTGTGTAGAGTGTCTTACTGTAGTCGGAAAGAATTAAACAGATTAGATGTGCTGTGCAAAATATTCATGGATGTTAAGTCAACAAAATCTTTTAAAACTGTAACATCTAGATAGATTCAAACGATTGTAGCTTATTACACTTGAAATTGAAAGCAATACAAAAAGGTATTTCGTACAATCGATGGTACAGAATCATATTTAGAATAATATTTGTCGATTTCTTTTAATATTAAAGACCCCTTTTCAGTTCAGTTACTCCATACCCACCATACCCACATAAATAATTGCCAGTTGGGGTGACAAGAACCAAGTGCATCTTCCTGAGGCAAGGTAGTTAAGTGACTATAAAAGTCCAGTTTCCACCCTTGCCGAACTAGGCTGGAATTTCTGGCATCTATCGCAGGGCCACCAGTGGCTATTACGAATTATGTCCCTTCTATTGACCAATCACATTTCACCTATCATATGCATATTACTTGCATTTGCTTTAAAAAATGGCGACTCCTAGTGAAGACAATAATCAAGATCTATATTGTAACAAAACGGATCTTCAAATGAATCAAATCACGTAAGCAGCTTGATAAAAAAACATGAAAATATTTGGAAAATATTTTTGTTGACGGTACACATGCTTTGCAAATCCTGCAATCGACCGAAATCTTCACGGCCGTTTACTAACGGGATATTGATATCGTTACGCGATTTTGATTGGACTATGCGTGGACTCGTTAGTCCAGCCAAAATATAGCTCCATAATTCCAGCCTTGTTCGGCAAGGGTGGAAACTGGACTTTTATAGTCAGTTAACTCCCTTGCCTCAGGAAGATGACCAAGATAGGTTTATATGCATGACATGCGATAAACAGCAGATTAACACTGGCAACAACAGGAAATAGATAACAAGTAGCATACAGATAATTGGAAGAAGTCAAAAGTACAGTAAGAATAACAAATAGCACACAGGTAATGAAGCCAGATGTAGAGTAAGGATAAGGATTACACGATTTGAACAGTTGTTACAAGCTGATTGGATACTTATTAAAAAAGTCTATTGTTTGATTAGATCTTCACAGGCAGACGAGATGTAATACCCTTGATCTCTGTTGATCAAGGTTTGTGGCGGCGGATTTCCAGAAATTGTCATCCATAAAGGTGTACGTTTTCTTACCAACTGCTGGAATGCCAATCAAACACTTGAAACATTGTATATATTATACATCATGTAGGCACTTACACAACAATGCGAGAAGCCTCCGCGGGAACTACCCAGAAAGTTTCAAGTTTCATTCATAGCTATATCTACTTTAA